CAGAGTGCACAGAAATGCCTTTTACCTTCCCGCCACAGTGGTACCTATTTATCTACTTGCACTGGCATGCTTTCGAACTGCTAGGTTGGCAGGAGCAGGGACAGAGCAACGGGAGCTCACCCCGTCATGGGTATTCAAGCAACTGACCTTCCAATCAGCAAGCCCAAGAGGCTCCCTTTAAATAAGCACACAAAAGTGACTAACCTAAGTTTGCTTTTTTACTAACGTCTCAAGAGGCTAGTAGGCTGCTTTTCTGTGCTGGCCACAGAGGCATGGAAAGATCCAAAGCATACATTTTAAGGGATGGCAATGGTTTGTTTCTCAATGTTACAATTTCTATATTGTAATTTGCTGGATTGGGGAGGGAACGAGTCTCACACCAAATTCCCTTTCATTTATTGTAGTGCTCTTGTCAAACACAAAGAATCAGCACCACCTAGTGCCAAGCAGTGTTACAAGCACAGTTCCAGAATCATGCTGTTTGTAGCCAGACGACAAAAATTGCTGTTATGTCTTAGAGACTCAGGTGGTATGCACACTCCTGTTTACACTGCACCCAGTGCACTCCCACTGCTAGTTGGGAAAGCGGTGTACACACGACATTATCCACAATCCGTATCTATCTTGCAGTTTCTTGTGAAATACTGCTTTTTGATGTGTTTCCCCCCAAACAGCTTTGATTTGAACTAAGAAAGAGATGTTGTCAACGTTTTAAACTAGTAATGTGTACACAGCCTCAATGCCAAACTACATATTAGATACTATAAATAAAAATCTAGACAGCTGTTTCTCGTAGTGAAAATTGGTTTCGGGAGTGGAGCAGAGAAACTGCAGGGTTCCAAATAAAAGTTAACTTTTTCAAATACCTGCCTTGAGTCTTGCGGGGAGGGCAGGCTGTTGAAGGGGGAACTACAATGGAAACGCATTGGATTGAAAAAGGGTTAAACATCCCCTTGCCCACCCCAAATTACATCCTTAATCACGATAAGAAACAGCTGTCAGAGATGGCATGCATGTGCTTGTGCCTAACATGTTTGGCCATCATACCTGTGACCCAGAAAACTGGGGTGGGCAGAAAGGCCTTGAAGGAGCTTCTCTGTTGACTTGGTTCGCAAACCCTGTAAAGCCAACCCATGGTTTAGTGTGAACATGTGAGCTCTTGGGAGATGAGATCATGGCTGCTTTGCTGTTCCCCAGTCGTTCTGCTGCTGTGCTGAGCTGAGCTGTGCTGTGCTGAACTGAACCATGGTTTGGCTTAGTCACTTAGTGTGTCATCTGAACCCAGGTTTGTGGTTTTGCTCTCCTGGACCAGCCATAAACTATACTGGAGGTAATCTAGGCTGCATCCCCTGCAATATAGCATCCTGGGTACTGTAGTTCATAGAATGCTGCTGTGTCCTTCATTACATTCTGTGGTAGCCAATTCCATGGTTTAGCTATGTGCTGTGTGAAGAAGGACTTTCTTTCGTCTGCCCTGAATTCCCTCTATGTTTCTGGTGAGTAAAATGTAATAGTTGCTATCCAGTCAGAGCTTTTCTTCTTATCACTTGGGGAAGGAAAGGGCAAATGGAGTTTGTCATTGGCAAAGGCAGAAAAGGAGCATGTACAGTGGCCACAGCTTGCCCTCAGGTCACTCTTTACACACCTGGACACACCTGGCAAAAAAAGGGATAACATTGTAAAGAGCAGCCACCCCTGTGGTTCTCTGTTAGCAAGGGCCAGTTCTATTGTGTACAGTCTCTTAGCTGCCACTGTGTAAAACCACACTCCCCTGTTCCCCCAAACCTCAAACTGTCACTACTTTGTTCCAAAAACCGGTTAAGATTCCTATAGTTCGTTGTCCCACAACACTTACAAAAAGTCAAGCACTTAAAACGCGGAAACGAGAACCTAAGGACATAATCAACTGTACACTACCCACATAATAAACAAAGGACAAAGCAATGCATATTTCATCATAGTGCAAGAATCCTGACATTTCCATTATTGTCTTTCTAGCATTATTTGTCAGAAAGAGTGAGTCACTCATCATGGACTAATCCGTGGCACCTGAAGGGTCCCTAGTGTGATCAAGGTAACCTTCCACATTTGAAATAAGCACATAAGGAGTTCGTCATTACAGGTGTGCCTTGTCAATTTCCCTGTCCTTGTTCCCTACCATATTCCTAGGGCTTGGGGTGAGTTACGTGCCTGTGTGTGTGTGTACACACACACTGGTACACACACACACACACACACACACACACACACACGTATATTAATGCAAACCACAGAGTCTTGGGTTAAAAACAAATTGTTTCTGGGAAGATGTTTGCCGATAACCCCATGAGACCCACTGACATTTCCCCATCAGTTTGGAAACAAGCAGTCTTTGACTGAAGGGGCCACCAGGGTTGATTTTTCCAGCTTTTAGCTGAAAGTAGCACTGGAATCAGGTGCACACCCCATATGTTTAGACTAGGCATTGAGGGCCACAGTCCCTTCTGGGAAATCTTTTAAGATCCACATAATAGTGGGCGAAGAGAGAGGCAAAGGTGGCTAGAGCAACAAACGTAAATTCTACCTTTGTACATTCATTAAAGTACACACTACCCTGGGGTAGACCCAGTCTCCCAGCTTGTTTTGGGCATTTCTACTCTTAGGGCCCAGTAGAAGCATCTGATGCGCTGCTGATGCTAAGCAGGTGCAAATAGGATCAGTCCATTTGGACTGGGAGAACAGCCAGGAGGAGCCCCATGAGAACAGCATATACATCATCATGAACTTTTATGATTCTTTAAAATAAAAGGGAGGAGTCAAGTGCAATTTTCTTCCCGTTTGTGACTGTGGGCTAAGGGCCTAGTTCTCATTGAGGTGGGTACCTTATGTTTGGATTATACCACCTCAGACTACAGTGGGTGAATTCTTACAATACTGAATGCTCCTGCATACAGAGTATAGACCCCCTGCACATAGAGAACTAGGGATCAGGGAACAACTTCTAGTTTCTTTCTTTTTTTTAAGTAAGTCTTTATTGGTTTAAAATACAAACGTAAAATGAAGGTAAGTATAGAAAAGTTAAATACAAAAAAAAAAACACATCAAGACATAAAAGAAAAAAATTAAAAAGACAAAAAAGAAAAAGAACCAAAAATTTATACAAAATTATGTCTATCAAATAAAACTTCCAATCGTTCTCATTATACGGTTTCTGTTGTCATGGTTTTATTGCACAGCTTTACTTTATACCCTTTTTCATACATTCCACTAGAGTACAACTTCTGGTTTCTACGTGGGAAATTTTTAAATGTTTGATATGGAGCTCACCCTTGGGGGATTGCAGTCGTCCCCTTGATTCGCCCAGTCCTCCTGCTATTTTTTTTTTATCTGAAACCAGCCTTGTGAATGCTAATTGAACCCTGCACCACAAACCTCAGTCTCCCCCCAGCTAACCCCCCAACCTGCCTGCTTTCTTACAACCAGTCCAGGAGCTGGCACTGCCTGTCACCTTCCTCTTCCTTAGGGCCCCTCTAAGGCCCCTCCCACAATTTATTCCACAATCATGATTATTTGGGCTCACGAGGCAATCGGGGGAGTTGCATGCAATCACACTTTCAGTACTGTTTGTGCCTGGGGCAGTCACTCTGCTTCATTTCCAATCAGTGCATATTCCGTAACTGCCTGCTGAAATCCTATTTATTTTTGTTTGTTGTGCTACAGCACTTCTCCAGAGAGCAAACACAGAACAAATCAATGAAGCAAAACTGGGCTTTATTTCACCCGGGTCACAGACCCAGTTTGGCACCCCCTCATGCACATTTGCATGTACACATACACACACTCAGGCTGGGAATTTCAATGGTGTCCTCAGCTCCCCCCCCCCCCATGGTTCCGCCACCACCAGTGGTTACAATGTCGGACTAGGATTTGGGAGACCTGAGTTCAAATCGCCACTCAGCCACAAAGCTCCTTGTGTGACCTTGTGGCAGTAACAGTCTCTCAGCCTGACCTACCCCACAGGTTGTTGTGGGGATAAAATGGGAAGGAGGAAAACGATGGAACCCCCTTGAGCTCCTTGGAGGAAAATGTGATATAGAAATGCAATAAAATAAAATATTTAATGCACCATTTCTGCTTTAAGAACACATTGCAGGCTACACCCACAATAAAACACCAGACTGGAGAGGCCCAAAGTCTCAGTGCTGTCCCTTGCACAACTCAGCCTATGCCTCTCTTTGGTGCTCCGGTTGTGTGTTCATGTTTTTAAATTCAATGCTTGTATGTTTATTATTACGTTCAGTAAAAATCTTGGAAAAGAAAAGAACTAATAATTTGCTGCCCTTTCCAGACAACGCCCCCCCCCAATCAGCCGCGGTGGGGGCTTGTTAGGATCGCGTCTCAAGTTACACCAGCCACCTCCCGGGGACCACAGCCTGGAAGGGATCTTCTCCCAGGAGATCGATTGGGGAAGGGGGCGAGCCAGGCCCTTCCGCGCTTCTTTGCCCGCCGCCGCGCTCTTTGGCGCTGCTGTTACCTGCTCTACCCGCGCGGCCCCGCGGCAAACAATGGAGGAGTTTCCGCGTCGTGCAGCAGAAGCGGGGCTTTGCCCGGGATCGGAAGAAAAGACTGAAGGGAAAGAGGAGGAGGCGGGGGCCGCGCCGTCCGGGCGAACGTTGCGCGCCGCCGCGTTCCAACGAAGGGAACCTCCTTGCGTCAGAACACCGGTTCAGCCAATCAGGTGTCGGGGCAAGGGATTCCCGCTCTACTTGCCGCTTGTTCTGTCTCTTTAAATGGTTCCAACCGAGGAGAGACCTCAGTGGAGATTGGGAATAGGGTAACGCAGCAAGGGGGTTCTCTGCGGAGACAAGCAGCAGGTGGGCATAGACCGGAGGAGGGGGAGAATAAGGCAGCCTCGGGAGAGCCTCTTGAGAAGCAGCAGGCAAGATCAGAAACTCCTCTAGTTGTCTGGAAACATTCATTCCTCTAGCCTGGGGGGGGGGGGGGGGGGAGGATTCCATTTAGTGGGGGCGGATCAGGAAAGAGAAGCGATTGTTCAGCTCCAGCAGAGCTAGCTAAGTAAGACGCCAGCAAGCCCCTCTTCAGAGATGGAGTGGAAGTTAGAAAGATTCGCAGCCCGGAAGGTCAAGACGGATGAAAGTGTGTTGTGGGTAAATCTACGTCCTTCAGTCTCTCTCCGCACTCCCATCACTATTTTGTTGTTGCTATCTTTTATTTACTTTTTTTTACATATATATCCTGCAAAATTTTAATTTCAACACTCAGTAGAGTGATCTGAATGCTCAGTGCATTAAGCACTGGCCAGCTTTGCAATCCTACCCGTGTCTGCTCAGAAATAAGTCTTATTTGAATTCAGTGGAGCTCCGTCTCTCTCTCTCCCCCCCCCCCCGCAAATGAGGTTAGGATTTCAGCCTTAATTAAAACTTCACCTATTAAGGGTGCAATCTTATGCACATAAGATTCGGGAGAAATCTCTTGTTTAATATGGTGGGACTCATTTCTGAACACACCCACATTAGTTCATGATGTTAGGGGAAAACTATAGTGGGACTGACTCCTGAGCAAACACACATTAGATCACTGTGTTAGAAAACCTTTGGAGGCCAAGACGGGGGAAAATAAAGGTCAGTGCCTCTAATTATTATTATGATGGGTCTGTTAGGGTGTATGCGGCGCTCCTTAAAAATAAGGACCATCTAATTCTAATACAATAAATTGCAAGTTATGGAAGGCTACACAGCCACACAGAAGTTCATTCTCTTTCCCAATCAAGATGTGCTTCCAGATTAGTTAGGATGGGTAGTTTTGTTTTGTTTTTTTACAAAACCCTATACAGAAATGCTGTCCCCTGCACCATGAGATGTAGGGGAGGGTGTATGCGAAAGGTCACTAGGCCTGGGCAAACACAGCACATGGTTTGCTACAAGTCACTAAGAATGTGAACTGGCATCTGCATAATTCAGACCTGATACCTAAAGGTTGAACAGCGTTATTGTAACATCTCTGTACGTTTGCTTTCTAGGAGAAAATAATGAGAACTCTGGGGACAAACCTCCAACAGACCAGAAACCTAAGTTTGCAGATTCTGGCTAAGGTGAGTGTTTATAAAACTGCAGAACTGCAAGCTTTTGATTGTCTGCAACACTTTTGTGTCCTCTGGAAGAGAGTATGGGAAATGACAGGCATTGTGTAGTGGTTCTTTCCTCCAGTATAAGCTTACATGGATGTTCTAGGAGCCAAAACAGATGAATGTGTTAACAGTGTATAAATGTTGGTTGTGGCTATTTACTGTTGGGAAGGTTTGGTGATAGAAGCAGTGATTTTTTCTGGGGGGATGCAGGGGTATGCACACCCCTAAACATTTTGTGAATCTTTGTACTTTTGTCCATTTACTGTATTTATTTTCCCCGATTTGAACTATAAAGTGGTGATTTTCTTGAGTCAAAATGAGAGTACCCCTACACATTCTTTTAGGAAAAAAAGCACTGGGTAGACGCAATTCTGCATTGTAAGTGAGACGGAGCAGACGCTGAACGTGAACACAGGAATGTACCGCTTTGGCAGTGCAGTACTAGCTGGCTGTTTTGGATACCTGTTGTTTTACAGCTGCTGGTTGCACTCCATACTGTTGCATTCCCAAACACGGCAAATGTAGTGGGAGTGCGCCCCCTTGTGAACATTACTGGGATGCCCAGCTTTAAAATTCCAGATTTATTGCCTTGGCTCTGCAGTCAGAATCACTAAACCATTCTTTAACTACTTTGACAAAAGGGTGGCTTTTATTTTTATATTTTGGATGTCTTACCCACTCTTTATCATAGGGTCCCAAGGCAGGTGGCAATGATATAAAGGTAGTAAAATAAGTTAAAATGATTCAGAAGAAAATGGTGGGTTCTAATCTATCTATCTATATACATACACAGCACAGACGTATATAGCTGAAAGGCTGGGGCAAAGAGGTGTGTCGCCTGCATATGAAGAAAGCTATACAACGAGGGTGCCCGTTGCACCTCTGCCCAGCTTCCCTGTTGTCGGAGTGACCCTGCTGTGAAGCTGTCTCTCTGTGTGTGTGGTGGAATGGCAGTGTATTGTTAGCTGGATGAATATCTGAAAGCCACCAGCTGACATTCAGCTGCCAGCCTACGGCACATATTGTGATCATCGGACAACCACAGGGGTTTGTATAATAAGACCTTCGAAAATGTTCTGGCATTATTTGAGCACACTCATTAGCTGCTTTGCAGAGTTCTGAATGTCACAACAGTCTTCTTCAAGCATAGTTGTTCAGAGCAACAGTAAAATAAAGGAATAAAGTGATTTTTATGAATGGGTCTGGTCACCCTGAAGTGCTTGAGAGGTTCTGCAAACTAGGATATATCTAATCTTAATGAATGTAACTTACCCAACATCAGTGACTGCATTAAAAGTAAATCCATTTCCATATATGCAGGGCACTGGACACCTAATATTGATGCCCTCTACAATATTCCTTTCGTTATCCCATTTTGTTTTACTTCTGCACTGGGCAGCCATAAAAAGGATCTTGTAAGCAGCCATTGCCAACCTGGTGCCCTCTAGCTGTTTCAAACTACAACTTCCATTAGCTCCAGCCTCTGTGCTGGCTGGGTGTGATGGGAGTTGCAGACTGAAACAGCTGGAAGGCACCAGGTTTACAAAGGCTGGTCTAAAAGCGTGCACTGTTTCTGAACAGCTGTTTATTTGAACAAGAGATGTTGTTTCATGTAGCATCTCTCATCCTGGCATATCCATTTGATTCCGTTTGACCTCTTTCTCTCTGGGTGTGTGTGATGGCTTGGCAGTGTACTATTAGTTAGCTGTTGTACCTATTCCAGCAACTAAATACACTTCCATATCATTGCATGGCCATGCGTCATAGGCTAAATGCTTTCCATTTGTCTCTGATGGAAGAGGATCGTTAACGGCCACTGCTGCGGAAACCCACCAGTGCCTGCAGCGTTGTGAAAACTTGCAATAAGATAGTCTGTTTCTTATCAAACTGTCGGTTTTTATGAATTTGTTCCCTGCTTTTTCCAACTCTGGCCAGTTGCTTAACTCATCTCTTCCAGACTAGCTTGTCTGCTGAAGTGAATATATTGCCATATGGTGAAAGGAAATAAAGGAATAACAGTAGAAATAACAGTGATAGCCAGGGTGGGGAACCTCAAGCTTGGGGGCCAAATGTCACTCTCCAGGCCTCTCGGCTCCCCCAAGGCAGTGCTCCCTCCCCAGGCCTCACCCTTTAATGGTCCTGCTCTGTGATGTCCTTGAGTGTTTTGGCCCAGCTGGAATGTGTCCTTGAATTGCAATTATGCCTCTTGCTTGCCTGGGTGAATTGCATGTAGAAACCTCTGGCTTTTGCATGGCTGGAATATAGCCTACTCTACCAAGATTAAGAGGGACGCAGGTGGCACTGTGGGTTAAACCAAAGAGCCTAGGACTTGCCGATCAGAAGGTCGGCGGTTCAAATCCCCGCGATGGGGTGAGCTCCCGTTGCTCGGTCCCTGCTCCTGCCAACCAAGCAGTTCGAAAGCACGTCAGAGTGCAAGTAGATAAATAGATATCCGCTCCGGCGGGAAGGTAAACGGCGTTTCCGTGCGCTGCTCTGGTTCGCCAGGAGCGGCTTAGTCATGCTGGCCACATGACCCGGAAGCTGTATGCTGGCTCCCTCGGCCAGGGGTCCCTTTACCTTTACAAAGATTAAGAGGCACACCTGTTGCTCCACCTACTGGCATGCATCCCCCAAAAGGCAATGTTGTCCTCAAATTGGGGAAAAGGTTTTCCATCTCTGCGCTGTGGCTTTGGGAGTCCAACACAGGAGATGGGGATCTAGCCCCTGAGATCCTCTGGCACAAAGATAAGTCGCATCCTTGGTAGATTAAGCAGATTTAAGACTGTCTCTCCTCAATGCCAAGGGTGTTTGTAAGGATCAAGGGATTTCAGAAAAGTGGCATTCAGAAGCATCTGAATGGCAAGATGTCTGATTCTACAATGTAATATCCAAAGGGGAAACTTTTAGTCAGACTGTATGCTAAAGACTTCTGGAGGACCCATATCACTGGGGTGTTCAAGTGTCTATTACAAGAGAAGTCACTGCTGTTCTGAAATTCTGCTTCTTCTGCATGTGCAAATTGTTCTCAGTCTGTAATGGGAGTATTTATAACCAGCAATGGTTACATTCATTCTTTGTTCCGCAATCTAGTCTGCATTACCCTTCACACATGTACAAGATATGCAAGAGAGATTCAATGCACATTTGAGCCTCATGTTTAAACACCAAAGTTCACACAATCTTCTCCACACAATCTTTCACTGTGTGAGCCAACCCCACTGTACAACTCTGCACAGTGAGGTGTTGTGTAGTGTTCTTGTCTCCATCGTTATTAACTTTCAGGGGGAATCCCTGTTTACCCAGGTATCTGGTGGCTGAGGAACACTACTGTTCCTGGCAACCCCAAGATCATTGGTAGAGGAATATTTTTAACTGCTTTTAGAATGTTTTAAACTGTAGCTGCTTTTAGATTTTATTTTATTAATAATGCGTTAACTGTTTTAGAACATTTCTGCTTTGCTTTTAAATTGTGCCTCTGTTTGCCACTCTGGGCTCCTTCTGGGAGGAAGGTGGGATATCAATTCAATAAATAAACAAAAATATTCCCACTTGACATCTGCAAGCTCAAGCAACTTCAGAAGGAGTTCTGCTCACGTACCAATGTATGAATACCATACAAGGAGGACCTTCTCCCCTATTGCCAGTCAGGATTCTTCCTCAACTTGGGAAGAGCTTTAGACATGTACATCGGTACACCAACATAACCCCTTCTGATGAAGCGTGAACATGGGGACATCAGGGGAGTGTGGTGATTCCATAGCCACCTCCACACCTTCTTTCATCATGCTGAGGTTTGTGGGGGGTTTGTCATATATTCCCCCTCTGAATAGGCTATTTCAGCAAGCAGGGTACAGTGGTACCTCGGGTTAAGAACCTAATTTGTTCTGGAGGTCCGTTCTTAACCTGAAACCATTCTTAACCTGAGGTAACACTTTAGCTAATGGGGCCTCCCGCTGCCGCTGTGCGATTTCTGTTCTCATCCTGAGGTAAAGTTCTTAACCTGAGGTACTATTTCTGGGTTAGTGGAGTCTGTAACCTGAGGTACCACTGTATTAGGATGTGATACTGAGAAATTGCTAACTTCATCTGTTCAAACAGCATGGGGTGAAATGTTTGAACTGCTGAGTTTACCAAAAGCCCAAATAATCCTTATCTATGCAGGACATCGCTGACAGCAAGCAGCACAGGAGACAAACATCACAGGTGGATGATCAATATTTCCCAATAACTGAGGTATGGATTCTTTTGTATGGGACTCCCAATATGAACTGTATCGGTAACCTACCATTCTCCATGCGAAATAAAGTGGAGAAACAATTATTACACTTTTTAGGGTTGTTGTTTTTTTGTAGTATACAGAGAAGAACTTACTAATGGTTAAACTTGCTATGCTCTTGCACTGGTATTTATGAATGGCCTGCCATGACCATGGGAAGTGGAGGGGAGGGCAAGCAGGATATCTGTCAGCAAGGGACTGTGTTAAGGAAGCTTTTGACATCATGGCAACAGTTTCCCCAAAGTCAGCATTTCTTACTGGACCTGTAGGGAGAAAGGGTGTCCATTCATTTGTATAGGATCTAGTAAAGGTTCCCTTTTGGAGTGACCACTGCAGTAGAATCTGAACCTCCTCTCGTCATTTGGGGCCCCCAAATATTGACCACCAAACTAGTTCCTGTCCATGTGGCCCCCAGAAGAATGTAAGATGGAACTTTTGCAAAGCTAAACACTGACGGGTGCCCCACCTCTCTTTTCACCGGAAGTCCCGCCTCCTTTTAGGATCGCATTCCATAATTCTGTTTCTTGGTCGTACTACAGCAGTGATGGGGAACTTTGAGTCAAATCTGATCCTTCAGGCCTATCAGTCTGGTTCTGAGGAGTCTCCCCAGCTAGAAACCTCCCTCCCTCCGCAAAAACTACTTGGGCAATTATTCCTGTAAACTCTGGAGTTCTTCCAAGCCTGCTGATACCTCCCTCTTGTATGTGGATAGTGGTGCTTTGGTTTCATAAGTGTCCACACTCACAAGACTGAATTTGCTATTAGTATGTAGGAAAATTATCACTTCCCTCTCCCCCCCCCCTTAAGCAGTATGCTCCAGTTTACTCGATAGTGCACTGTGCAATAGAAAATTATTTTGGAAACCAGTGTATAGAAGAGAACACCCCAAACAGACTTGGCTTATTCTATCTCTTTTTTAAAAATAAAACTTCTTCATAAAAACTATTTACATTTTTTTTTGTTATCCCCCCCCCCCTTTCCACCTCACCCCACCCTCCATGGAGCATGCATTTCCTGCTGTTGTTGATAAAATGCTAGATTTTATCAGCTTTAAACAGAACGATTCAATGGCAGGACAATTTCTCACGCTGTACTTTCATTATTGGGTTAAATAGTGTTACTTGAGTTATTTGGCAAACGGTGTTTTAAGTAACCTGCTGGGAAAGAAAGAATACCTTATTTTGATTCGTCTAGGACAGGGGTAGAGAACATGTGGTCCTCCAGATGGGACTACAATTCCCATTATCCATGACCATGGGCCAGATCCAGGGCTCAGTTGGGTGAAGTGCACAGCATACCGAACCTTCTCTTTGCTCAGGTGGTTTAAGAGCTGCTCCTTAAACAGAAGAGTTTTCTGTCGAAAGCTACCAACATTTTATCCAGTAAGAAAAACCACTGCTTGTCCAGCTTTTACCATTATTAAGCAGGAATGTACTAACGGCCGAGGAGAGATGTTGCCCTGTGGAATCCAAAAGGCACACCTGCTTTGTCAGAGGTCTTCTCTTTTTTTCAAAATGATCTGCCTAACCAGAGCAGCTATATCTGGCTTGATGCTTTCTATGGGCTCTTCGGGTCTCCAGAACTTCACGACTTTCCCATCTGGGCTGATGAGATACTTCCAGAAATTCCACCGAGGCATAGCTTTGGAGGAATCTGCAAGAACAAGACAAGATTAGTTTGTATTGCAAGCAGAAGGGGCGCCATTCAGATTTTTTTTTAAATTAAAAACCAAAACCAAAACCCCTTTATAAGAACAGAAGGATGTTAGAATCCTAGAACTGTAGGGTTGGGCTCCAAGGGTCATCTAGCACAACCCCTTGCAATGCAGGAATCACAGCTAAAGAATCCCTGACAGATGACAGGAGACCCAGCTGCTGGCTCAGGCCAGTGGTCCATCTTAGTCCAGCATCCTGTTCTCACAGCGGCGCACCACTGCCGTTTTCAGAAACTGGTATTCTGAAGCGTACTGCCTCCAAAAGATGCGTCAAAGTGCCACTGAGATCAATAGGAATGATGTGCTTAGCTCCCACTGATTCTCTGGACTGCCAAATTCTTCCTCCTGATGAATTACAGTAATATGAAACTAGGCTCCTGGAGCTAATCATTATTGCTGATCAACACATGATCCATAGCTGCCTTTCCACATCTCTGCTCATCTCTCCCCTTTGCTCAATTCAGTGGGGTTAGGATTTCATCTTAAGGGCTAGAATCTTGGTGGTGGTTTTAAAAAAACAAGATTCTTGGGAAGCTGGGTTCTGTATCCAGTACCACATTTAGCATGTTTTCCTGTCCACTTTCCCCCTGGAAGTAATGTTGTACATGCTTACCTATTAGAAATTGAAACGCTGGCGATGCTTCACTTCCTAGAACCTTTATTTTCTTGAAAATGGGGAAAGTTACTCCATAATTTGATTTTGCAAGATATTCAATCCGCCGGCTTGTGTCTGGCTCCATTTCCCCATACTGATTACAGGGGAAGGCTAGCACTGTGAAGTGGTATGGTCCAAACTCCCTATGCAGTTCCTGCAGCATGATGTAATTTTTTTCTGTGTGCTGGCAGTAACTAGCCACGTTAACAACCAGAGACGCCTTCAGGGAGACAGAAAACAGGGCAGTGAGAAAGAAAGACGATGAGAGACTGCTTATGCCGAAGTTAACAAAATGGCTTTACATTCTGACCATCTCAGCTATTTAAATGTAGGAAAAGTATACATGTTCAGCTAAGCTTCAATTGCAGAAAAACAGCCATCCATCTATTCAGCATTGTTTTAGCCACTGGCTGCCACAAAGTAAACTTCTTCAATTGCAGGAAGGAAAATATTAGTACCGGCGATTACTGCTTAGGACTGTTCTCCCCTACTCTGGAGAAATTGCAGGGATTATGTAAACCATCAGCACGACTTCAATTCACCGAAATACATTGGCTAGATTATTCCTAATGTTTACAAAATCCAATTGTTCACAGTAACAGATGCATTTTTTTAAAAAAAGAAATGGGACTATTAAAAAGTCCAAGAATCAAACTCATCAATTGTTTGCATTTCACAATAGTTAGCCACTGGATTCTGCAGACGTTTGCAGCTTCTGTAATGAAACAAGAGAATCATTTTGATGACTTACAAAAAAACAGGCCTGTTAGAGCAGACCAAGAGGCCAGCTGGATCAGACCCTCTGTCCACAACAACCAGATGACTCTGGAAGGCTCACAAGCAGCACAGGAAGGCACCAGCCCCCCCCCCCCGTAGATGCTAGATCAGGAACGGGGAACCTGTAGTTCAACAGGTGTTGCTGAACTACAGCTTCCATTTGACCTGAACGTTGGCCGTGCAGGTTGGGGCTAATGGGAATTCAAGTCTAACGGATCCTGTTCTAGATGTTCATTGCATCTGATATTAGGAGAAACTCTGCCGTTGATGAAACTACTTTGTTGGAAGTTAGAACGTCTCCATTTACACTAGCAAATATTATAATCTGTTTCTTGTACTCAGGAGACTTGGATTCCCACTCCCAGTATTCTTCTAACTGCTAAAATAAATCTACATTCACAGTGTTGTTGTTTTTTACAACCAGCCTGCATCTCAAAGGACATAAAATGTCATTATTATGCACGGAGAAGACAATAGCTCCATGCAAAGATTTCAGAAACAAAATACGTGTCACTTACTTTGCCTCTGTATTTCTCCAACGAAACGGTCCTGCCTTTCGGATCCATCACTTCAAAGGAATAAAAGTCTTTGACTTTGGGCTTTAAGTACTTTAGTTGCAGCAGTCCCAGTATGGCTGTGAACAAAACCATAGAGAAGAAAATGATTAAAATCCTGGTTTTCAGCCTCGAGCTTTTCAAAGGACACGCTGTCAGAGGCAGAGGCAGAGGCGGCTCCATTTTGGAGGATTTTGGGGGAAGTCTCAGCAGGCCTGGAATGTGAAGGAGGAGCTGAAACACAAAACTCACAGCAGCTTGGAAAGGGAGGTGGAAGAGGGAGCCAGAAGGCAGGCCGTGTCCTGTCCCCCCCCCCCCAGCCCAGACTTTGCCTAAAGTTCTAGGCTGCGGGGTCTAGAAACTGGTCTATTCTTTATCTTTAGAAGAAATTTATTGACAGCAAGTCAGCATTTTAGATCCCCTTTTCCATTTAAATGCAATGCTTTCTGTTTTACAATTTGGCAACAAACCATATTTTCTTCTCGCTTTCCTTCTCCCCCACATTTTTCTCCCAGACTGTCATCTGATTTATGGTTATGCAGGGGATTAGAATGTTGTTGTTGTTGTTGTTGTTGTTGTTGTTGTTGTTGTTGTTGTTGTTGTTGTTCTTCTTCTTCTTCTTCTTCTTCTTCTTCTTCTTCTTCTTCTTCTCTTGATTGGTTTCATTAGAAACCGGTCTACTCATCTTGCAAATGAACTAGTGGGCATAATCTGATTCTCAGAAATCGCTTTGTTAATGTTAATGAGAATGTATGTAAAGGACCTTGAACAGTTAGAAAGAGTAGGCTGGATCCAGGGTAAACAAACAAGCACAGGCATGTCTACTCAGAAGTAAGTCCCATCAAGTTCAAAGAGGCTTATCCCCAGGTTAGTAGATACAGGATTGCAACCAATGTTAGTTGCACTTAATTCCCACTGGGACAAATAGGGCTTTTATCCTGTCAGGCTTCACACATTTATTTCACTGATACCTAAATGCCGCTAACTCACAGCACAGTTTCTATACCAGGCTAGTACCGTAAATCCCTCTGAGTTAAATTGGTCTTATTTCCAGGTAAGTGCAGACTTACTCTGGAAGCAATCTATAAATAATAACAGCAACAACAATAACTATTGAAACAATATTTGACTGCACAAAACCTAATCCATTAATTTATAGTGTGTTTAATAAATATAAGCAACTTTAAACTATTATGTATCACCGTTCTTGTCACTTTACTGCTTTTTGTTTTAAACAGACTCCAGGCAAGACTTCCTATTCACATTTTAAAAGTTGCCTTGTGAAGAAACTGGCATCTTCTCCAGTTGCTAGTAGCCCAATTTCCTCAAGGTGGCAGCAGTCACGCAGCAGAAACCAAGTGGAGCAAAGTTTTGCAGAGAGTCCCTCTACCTCAGATGATGGGCCTGATCTGATGAAAATCATGTCAGTTCCAAGTCAGTGCACAGAGATGAGTGATTCCCTCAAAGTAAAGGGGTTATTCTAGTCATTATTCCATAACTCCAGATTAATAAATGCAAAAAACTTGAAAATGATATACAGGTGGTATTTTAACACCTAATAAACTAGCCAAGATGTAGAAGACTATATCAAGTAAATGCTGGAAAGGCAAACAGTCTGAAGGATCATTTTTTCAGTTGTGGTGGACTTGTAGAAAAGTGACAGGCTTTTGGGAAATGATACATAATGAATAGAAGAATATGTTTAAAATTGTGATCCCCAAAAGTCTGAAGCATTTCTTTTGTGAATAATATGGTGCAGAGGTCCCAGAAAGTTGCTTAGATTATTTATGTATGCTACCACAGCAGGCAGAATTCCATAAGTGCAGAAATGGAAAGAAGAAGAGGTTCCAACAAAAGAGGAATGGTCTTTAAAACTATTGGACTGTATGAACATGGCAAAACTGACAGCAAAATGTTTGTGGAAGAGTGGAGATCCTTTTCAGACTCTGAGAAAATGCTATAGTCAAATGAAATCGCAGGCAGGACTGCAAATAGAAGCAAAGGAATGAGAATGATAAAGGAATGTAATGTAGGATATATGTTATAGAAATAAGTATTACATTTAAGGTGGTAGATGAAGGATTTGAACAGAAATGTCATGGAAGTAAGGATGGGAAGTCAAAATGTTAAGGGAATGTTGCATTGAAACCGAATTGAATTTGCTAAATTGTAGGAAAATAAATAACAATTTATGGATCAAACAATGCACAAAAAATGACAGATCTCTGCTTTCTGTCTCTGTAAGCTGAGTTTGGTAACATGGGGAAACTGTTCAACAATGTACCTACAGCCGACAGTGAACAAAACAGGTGATTAAAGCCTAACATTGTTTTGGTGTAACTGAATAAATAGAGCTCAACTAGTTTGGCACAGCCTGATTAATATTATTACTAGTCTAACAACAACAACAACCTTCCACATGTCTCAAGGTTCCTGAAAACCTGCCTCTTCATCTCCTGACAGTTTCCTGAAACTTGACACAAACATCCTTAAAACACAATTAGAAGTACTTCTCCAGTTAATCTGTGCCAGGAAGCAAGTCCTTTGCACTTATGTGCACTGTCATAGCTGGAACAAGCTAAACTGTCATTTGCCAAAGGTGGGCTGGGTGGGTTTCTGAAGGGTCTGTATTCAAGATGAACCACAAAGCCACTGAAAGCCAAGCGCCATGAGAAATGTGGGTGGAACTGTGATTTGCGTATGAGCTGGAAATCACCACAGAAAGGGGGTGGGGAGCCTTTCTCAGCCTCGGGGCTGCAGCCTGCTGTGGGCAACCTGCCGGGAGTCACCTGGGACCAGAAGCAAAAGCGTTCGGAACAATAGATGTGGCTCTTACTGTAAGCTACATTCCAGCCATGTGGAAGTCAGAGGCCACTGTACACTCACCTGCGTTGTCTCTTCATCCAAGAAGGCCTTATCTGAGTTCATGGACAGAGCCAGCGAGGCAAAAAGAGTTGAGGAGGACAAAGAGTGGGGCCAGTGAAAAGTGCGGCTGAGGAGAGGGGACACTGTTAAGTTGTGGATGAACATATCAGACGACACAGCGATTCTTCAAACAGCTCTTGTTTATTCACAGACCAGAACAGAACTGAACTGAAGGGTTCAGCCAGCCTGCTTATATAGAGCTCCACTACAACGCAACAGTAACCACTTTCTGTAACTATCCAATCACTGAACGTCACTTTCAATCCCTTATTTGCATATGTGGACCTGGGTGAAAACTATCTACCGTATCCCCCTGCTGGCCCAGGGTGAGAACTTCAGTACATAACAGACATGGCCTAGGGAGGGTCCTAAGAGCCCAGATGTAGAGGGTTGGAGGCAGGGCTGGCCTTAGACATTTTGGCTCCTGAGGCAGACCCCAAAATGGTGCCTCCTTCCCTGCTGAAGAAGAAAGGATGAGGGAAGATCTATATCAGGAGTAAGAGAGGAAGAAAGATCTACCTTGGGAACAGCTGCCCCTGTGGATTTTGACACCTGAGGTGGTTGACTCGCTTGATCTTATGGGTGGGCTGGCCCTGAATAAAAATCTACATTGGGATCAGCTGCCGCTGTCACCTCACCTGGGTGGCTGGCCCTGGTATTTGGCCCCCGGGACTGAGGTTCACCGCCTCTACTCTCATACACACCAAACTCCCTGAGCACTGTTCTTGCTGGGTCTTCTTCCGAAAGCAGTGCCTGTCCCTTCATAAGCTCCGAGGCACTGAGAGAGGATGCAACCACCCAACCTTCTGTCCTTACTGACACTCCTCTTGCCCCCCTCTTCTGTCTGCTATTGCCAGCAGCTTTGTCCCCATTGTAGTTGGAGTCAGTAGGGCAGTTAAATAATTTTAGGCTCTGGTTTTCTCCTGCCGCCTCCAGATGTTAAGATGTGGTCTGATAGGGCCCCGTTGTTAGATGGTAATGTTCATTATTGTAAGCCCTTGTGGTCAGTCTGCAGAGTGGGGTCCTAAAGTCCTGGCACCACTGCTGGGAGAGGAGATGGGATGAAGGGACTACTGAAACAATGGTGTGAGAGGCACAGGATTATATCCTCCCTTGCTGTTGCAGTGTTTTAAAGAAGTGAGTCGCCCAGTCTTTAGGGGATGACCCGACAAATACCCAGTCAGTTTTTAAAAAAACGAATCAGCAAAGTTTGTCCTGTGTTACAAGTTATGGTGCTGGTTAAAAGACTAGAATCCATGGCTGAAAAGCTTTTGGTAGCCCTCAGCTATGCTTGCAATAGTTCAGTTACAGGATTATGGTGCTTGCATCTAGAGGAGGACTGTTGGGCTGCAGTTCAACATACAGTGGTACCTTGGGTTACATACGCTTCAGGTTACAGACTCCACTAACCCAGAAATAGTGCTTCAGGTTAAGAACTTTGCTTCAGTATGAGAACAGAAATTGTGCTCCGGCGGTGCAGTGGCAGCAGGAGGCCCCATTAGCTAAAGTGGTGCTTCAGGTTAAGAACAGTTTCAGGTTAAGAACGGACCTCGGAATGAATTAAGTACTTAACCCAAGGTACCACTGTATATTTTACTCAAAAGTAACTTCAACAGAAATCAAATGGGACTTAAAAACCAAGGGCTGTCCTTTTCTCCACCTTCTTCTCAGATTATAATACAGAATTTACAAGCATTAAGCAAATCTGTACTGTTTTTCTCAAGGGAATATGGCATCTGCAACAAAATGTTGCAGCGTGGAGTGCTCCTGTTCAGGATTCTAGTCAGCCTGGAGACTCCATTTCAACATGGGGCTCGAACCCACAACTCTGAGATTAAGCGTCTCATGCTCTACTGACGGAGCTACCAAGGAGCTTTTGCTGGATCTGGGAGCAGACAGGAAGCCAGTAGTCTCTTCCTGCCAGTGGCGTAGCGTGGGGGGTGCAGGGGGGGCCGGCCGCACGGGGCGCAACATCTGGGGGGGGGGCGCTCGCACTCGCAGCTCTCTGCCCCTACCTGGCTCACTCACTCTCTCTCACTGCAGTGGCCGCCCAGCGCAGCGCTGAGCGCGGGAGAGAACCACACCAGACCAGCCCAGGCAGCAGCAAGAAGCAGCTGGCAGCGGCGGCAGGTTAGGGGTTAGGGGGCGCAAATTACTTGCCTTGCCCCGGGTTAGGGGGCGCAAATTACTTGCCTTGCCCCGGGTGCTGACAACCCACGCTACACCGCTGCTTCCTGCTGCCTGTATTAAGGGTTTCAGGAAGGCTGCGTCCAAGGGAGAATCAAACGGCTTCTGGTGAGCCTGCCTTTCAAGACAAAGCAGGCCTGTGGCTGAGAGATTCCTGAAAAGCATACCAGTGAGGAATATGTGTTTAAGTTGAAAGTTAAGTTCTCATATAAAAGTCCCTTCATGCCACTACATGAGTTTCACATTAGCCTCAAGAAGCGTATCATGTGAACTGGGCATTCACAGGGCAGTGGCAGTTCCCAATATTAGGTACCTGGGGAAAGTGTTGCCTTAATCATGGTATTTGCTGCTAATAAAGACTTTGATTTTTCCATTTGTGTTTATTTGAGTTCACATACTGTTAACTCACACAGCGACTCTCAATGTTAGTTTCGTTTTCTAGTTTGGTTTCTGGTGAACTGCAGGAAATGCAGTGGAATGCAGTGGAAACTTGTTATCTACAGATCTATGTGAAATGAAAACTGTGATCTGTTATTTTCCCCCAATTTGGTTGAGTTTCTTCACGAGTCATGCATGGAGGGGTGAGGCGGTGGCAAAGTCAGTGTGGTGCAAACGTGACAGTGAAGTTAATCTGTTGTTTCCTGCAGGTGTGTTTTCACTACACCATCTTGCCTCTTCCCCTCTCAGTCCCACTAAGCAGCAGCAACTAGGCCAGAAGGATGTTCAATAAGTGGCACAGTCCCACCACACCATCTGCTACTGGATATAAATATGCCATGCAGGAAATCAGATTTGGCCACACAATTGACATCACGGGGCTACTTCAGAGTGAGGGCAATATCCTTGCTCTTAATTGGCTTTATGATGGTGCCACATAATCAATCAGCTTTGGCTGCATGAGGACATCACAACGCCCCTTGAAGCAAAAAGCACTAATTTTGCTCAGTATAGGTGAACAACCAAATCAGAGGCTGATTTTGGTCTTCCAAATTTCAGCAGCGCCCTATGCGAGGCCAAAATTTGCCCCCTGTATCTCACCTTCCATCCTGCTCATTTCACTACAACATTATTGCGGTGCCCTTCTTACATTATCTTTAGCTCTCTTTGTGTGTAAATGTGGCAGAGAGGTATCCTATCTATCCCCAAGCTCTAATTTCTTGCCTAGTCCAAGGAGACCTCTGTATCTCCTGCCTATTAGCTCCTATTGAGGAAATGCCAGCACCTTAACTATTCACTTATTTTGTCAAGCCCAACACTCTGGCTAGAAATTGACTTACAGCAAGGGTAGGGAACCTGCAACCTTCCAGATGTTGCTGTACTACAACTCCCATAATCCCTGGCCATTGGCCAAGCTGGCTGAGTCTGATGGGAGTTGGAGTCCACCATATCTGACCACAAGTTCCTCCCCCTGCCTTAGGGCTAAACCATAGTGGATGTTTCTGTCACAAATCATTACAGTAATCCCATATCAATATATGGTGATCAATAAATGTATTGTACTTTTGGCAAATTAGACCCTGTTACACATGGTGGATTAGAAAATGTCAGTCTTTTATCTCCATCCACCATGGCATCCCGTAATATTTCACATATTTAAATGTTTGCCACAAAGCATTTTCCAGGGTTCTAAAACATGTGGGGCACTTCATGAGTACAGTGGCTCCCCACTTCAGATGTTTGCCCTCCAACTCATGGATGCCAAAGATGATGGCAATGGGAGGCAGTGTTTGTGCCTCGTCCCTCTTTTCCCATCCCATTGCATGTTGACTTAACAGCAAAGATGTTCTGAAGAGCCAGTCCCTTAGTTGACACTCACTGAAGGTCAAAGCAGGGCTCAGTTTTGGAAAACAACAATAGTCTAAAACATTTTGACAAGCTTCTTTCCAGAGTTACTAGGGATATAAATATGGATCACCTAGAGGCATACCATTCTAATGCAAGAAGTCACTTAAACTGCGACCCTCTGAAGTGCTAGGGCGGTAACAACCCACCCAGGACCCCTTTCTTCCTTACAGAGAAGAAACTTACCACAATAAGTACCAACGTTTGCTTCTCTGATTTGCCCATAGCTGTCAACTTACAGATTTGAAAATAAGGGACCAGCAGCCAAAATAAGGGATTTTAGTCAACCAGCTGAACTACAAAGTTAAAAGGGACCAGATAATTTGGGAGAGCAGCGCCGGTTTTTAGCCCTTCGTTTCCAGAGGTTGCTGCTCAAGACACCAGCTGATGAAACACTGCAATTAAATAACTACAAGCAGCAACCACTTTTCGTGCAAAACGAAGTCCAAGCTACGAAGATGCTGCTGCAGTTCTGTATCTTTTCTCTCGTGCTCCATCTGCAGCTCTCAGTTCCATCAGGCGGGGCGGGAGGAAGGGGGGGGGAATAGTGCCCGAAGTAAACCCACAGATCAGACCATCTATGCTAGTCTACCACTACAAATCTGTGGGAGAAGCGCTTGCGGTCCTTCCTCCGCTTTCCCCCTCCGTGGTTTGCCCTTGGAACACCTGCCCATGCCTCCGCCTCTGCCTCCTCTCTCTGAACTGCTTTCTCTATGGTTGCCCTCGCTCTCCTCTCAAGGCTCCTCAGTCCTGGCGGGGAGGGGCTCCCGGGGGCCATAGCTGGTGAGAGGAGGCCGGAGGGGGGGGCCGGGCAGCCAAGCAACACAGTTGGAGCCTCCCTCCTCCCTGGCTGGCAGGGAGGGAGGGAGAGGAGCTGCTTCCTTTGAAACCCGGGAAATTTAAGGGACATCATCAATAAGGGACAGCAGCGGGACATGGCGCTGGGATAAGGGAGTTTCCCGCCAAATAAGGGATGCCTGACAGCTATGGATTTGCCCCTTGTGATTTTCTTATGTTTAGGTAGTCAGGTTAGGAGTGCAGTGGGTGAAGGAGGATAAGCAAACTCTCCTTTTGATTCTGCAAACAATGAGCTTGAACATGTGGATGACATCAAAGGCACAACTCCCATTCATTCAAATCAGGCAGCAAGTTTGCTTCCCATGACTGCGATTGAATGCTTTTTGTTGTTGTTGTTGTAATCAGGCTTATTATTTAGGCTGCTAATTTGACTCAAAGCTCAAGGTAATAGGTTGTATGTGGATGGTGAAATTCTCTGGGCCAGAGGCAAGAAACACCCCTAATTACACCGACAGTAGACTGAATATTGGAACTAGATTTTAGAAGCGGGAGTTCAGATCACAGATCAGCATTTAGATCCCACAGTTGGCTTTGGGTGCTGAGGTATCTGCTTCCCATCTGTTAAATCTGTTATAATTCAGCTACAGAGATGAATGAGCATAAACTGAATCACAAGCAAACAAAGATCAGCTAGTGCCATTGTTCATGACTGTGTCTATCCAGGAGAGGTGGTTGGGTGTGAGTCGAGCATAGACGCCAGGGTATCGGTGACTTTCACATTTTCTAACAAATGAGAGGATTCCAGTTTGTTCCCCATGGCATATTAAAGGACTACCAGAGTCACCCTGAGGAAAAGAAAGGAAAGAAGAGATTGGATGTTACCACTAAGCAGAAGCTGATCTATATACCTCCCTGTGGTCAGAATATTCCAACAACAAATTCAGTTCTGCAATTATTCATTTTAACAAAATATTTTAATGAAAACAGTGGCTGCAATGCAGCACAATACAGTCTATGGCAGGCAGAGGCAGATGGCACAGCCTATGAGCCCCAGAGTGATTACCTGCTACTGACACCAGACTAATAATAATAATTATTGTTGTTGTTGATGCTGATGCTGATGGTGCTAATACAATAATAACATCAAGCAGCATTAATCCAGATTGGTACTCAGTCCCTAAGTTAACACACTACATTTTAATAATGACTTCAACCTAGGAAGGATTTTGCCTAGCAAATCGGGATAAAATAAATAAAACTACACAGCTATAGCTTGATTCCCCAAGTCATATTGGATAAAACACTAAGCATTGTTAAGATTATGAATTCAAATCTTCATCAAAACCTGCATGCCTTCTTCAGTGTAATTAGAACTTTAAGCAGCTAAAGTTTTACTTCATAAACCAGCAGAGGCTCAATTCTTAATAAGTGAGGGCCATTTCATTTCATTTTACTTGAACTGATTTACAGACTGATTGATTACAGAAGTTTCTAAGTGGTGATTAATTGGTTTTAATTGCACGTTGAGGCCGTTTCATTTTGTCTTAAGCGACTTCTGGTATCTTACTATGGTAGAGTATTTATTTATTTTTAAAAAAGAAGTGTTAAAGGTGGACATTCCTTCTAAAAACGAATCAGGTAGCTGTACTTCGTTCAATGCCTCAGTTTTCTTATTGTTTCTTATTGAATATTTGGTAAAAAAAAACCAATTTAACTGATTCCTCAGCCGATCAGCTGAAAGGCAAAAATTTCTTCATTTTTTTGGGGAGGCTGTAATTTTACATTTGCATGAGTGCAGAATTAATTGAAAGAAACAAAGACTCTCTTACCATACACCTGTCCCCGCCGCCTTTCTTTTCACCAGCACACAGCATATTCATTGTCAGAGGAGGGTGAGAATTATAGTGGTGCTTGTCATTGCAGACCTTTCTGCTAATGATGGTGACGTTGGCTCCATGAAGTGTATCAAATCCGCTTCTTCTGTTAATTGTTCCCCACCCAATTACGACACACTGGGTTCCACCCTTGATGTCATCATATGTGTGGGTAAGTGGAATGGTTTTTACAGGTGGCGGGTGGCCTTTTCCTGACTGAAACTGAAGGAATCATAAAAAGGATCTATAGTTGGGATCTATAGACAAGAAGTGGCCACAGATTTTCATGCAATTTACCTTAGGCTTCCTTCTAGCATAATATTAATTAATAAATAATAATAATATTTCCTTTATGAATCGCTCTCCATGAGGCATCCTGAAACAATTTTATATATAATTATTATTATTATAGATACACACACACACAGACACACACACACACACACACTTATACACACCCACACCCACACACACCCCGTGTTTATGGAAGACAATCTTACTCGGCTATGAGTGATCGCCAAAGAAGAAGAAGATAATATATATACATATAAAGAAGTTAAAATAACTGTAAAATGCTTTTGAGGTTTTATTACATCAAACTGCTTGTAAATTTCATTAAATGAACACATAAACAATTGCATATATAAACACACACACACACACACACACACACACATGCAGTTTAAAACGGCGATAGCACTTACATAAAATCAACTTACCTGCAAAAGCATAATGTCATTTTCAAATGTCTTTGGATTAAATCCTGGGTAAGAAAATGTTTTGGTAATGTTAGCCTTGTGTTTTCCGTGCTCCATTTTAGTTCGTGAATAAGCTCCAAAAATCATGTATGTTTCTTCATCCCTGAAAAGATGAGCCACTGATAAATTCACCTCACTGATATTTGATTTCTACCATTCTGAGTGTTTGCATTCACACACTCTTCTTTATCCATATGTGTATATATTTTGCTGCCCCAGGCAGTAAAATGTTTTGGGCGAGCTCTGACTGCGGGTGAGCAGCCATTTGAAGCTCATCGTATATTCAGTATTAACTCTGCAGCAGCTGCCATTTTATCACCTTGCTCATTCTAGTTTGTGACCACTCTTTTACAGTCAGAAAGGGGTTTCAGCGCTAATTAAAAGATTGATTAAAAAAACTAATGTTATAAAATGGCGGCTGGCAGAAAGCTTCTGGCAAGTGTGTGCTGAGCTGCGAACGATTGACTTGTTTGACAGGTCACTGCCCATGTCAGAATCCCACCCTTTTTAAAAAGACAGAAGAGTATCATGAAGGACTTGTACACCTGTGGAGACTATGCTACTCTTCCATTCTTCTGGAAAAAGTTGGATTTGTGGAAAATACATTTATTTGCTTAATTTGTATCTTGTCCTTCTTCCCAAAGGAGCCCAGGGCAGAAAACAAGAAGCGTTAAAACAATGAAAACATCTTTAAAACAATTCCAATACAGATGCAGACATGTTGACAATGACTGGAGAACAGCGTCGTCTGGTTGCCTGTGAAAAATGAGTGAATAAAAATGGAAATTCCATACTAAAGGTGGAAACCAGCATAGCACGGAGGAAATTGTTCCATTTCTGCTTGCCCAATGGAATCATCTCTCTTCTCCCCACCAACTCACACTGCTCTGGGGAGTTTTCCAACTGTCCAGAGTGTACCAGTCAAGCATCTCTGGAGAGAACGGAACCAGAATGGAACTGATCTTCTCTCCTCATTGGACATGAGCAGCCACAACATGCACCAGCCAATTTAACTAATGACCTGGCCCTGTCACTTGTCACCACCCATACATTTTTGACACCCAGTGTGTGAGGAGGTTCATATGACGGTAGGCGCTTTCAGAGATTCTGATCCCAACCCAAGTAGAACTTTGTAGGTGACAGTCAACACCTAAATTGTACTCAGAAGCCAACTGGATGCTAGTGAAGATCTTTTTAATACTGCAAAGATATGTTCTAAGCCAAGGGTCAGCAAACTTTTGTAGCAGGGGGCTGGTCCACTGTCCCTCAGACCTTGTGGGGGGCCGGACTATATTTTTTGGGGGGAAATTGAACGAGTTCCTATGCCCCACAAATAACCCAGAGATGCATTTTAAATAAAAGGACGCATTCCACTCATGTAAAAACATGCTGATTCCCGGACCGTCCGCAGGCCGGATTTAGAAGGCGATTGGGCCGGATCCGGCCCCTGGGCCTTAGATTGCCTACCCATGTTCTAAGCAGCTAGTATCTGGCTGTTATCCACATTTCAAGCCCACAGTTGGATATCCTTGTTCTCTTACCCTTCTTGAATTTACAAGCAGCTGCTGTAAGCAATGGATGTTATGAAGCAAATATTGCTACCTGACTTGAAAAGGTCCTTGAGAATTGATGCCAGGAAGAGGTTTCTACAAAGCATCATTATTTCTCCAAACTTACGGAAAACAATGGGCTGCTGTTAACACCCAGTTCTGTTTGATCAAAGTTCCTCCACAGGACACGCCATTTCCTTTGATGAGTGCAACCATATATGATCCTAAAGGGTGACCTTCTTCTATCCATTCAACTATATCTTGAGGCTGACCTGTAGGACATAAGTCATTTGATCAGGTTGGATTTGTAAACTGCTTTGAGGTTTTTCCCTCTTACAATCAAGTGGTATATATATATTATGAAATAAGTAAGTACAGTGGTACCTCAGGTTAAGTACTTAATTCGTTCTGGAGGTCCGTACTTAACCTGAAACTGTTCTTAACCTGAAGCACCACTTTAGCTAATGGGGCCTCCTGCTGCCGCCGTGCCACCAGAGCACGATTTCTGTTCTCATCCTGAAGCAAAGTTCTTAACCCAAGGTACTATTTCTGGGTTAGCGGAGTCTGTAACCTGAAGCGTATGTAACCTGAGGTACTACTGTAAGTAAGTAAGTAAGTAAGTAAGTAAGTAAGTAAATGTAATGTACTGCAGGCCAGCTCATGAGTTATGGGTGTGTGGGCAGGAACAGAGAAATTCTGTAAATATTTCATATTTTTAAATTCCCCCATTCCACCTCTTGGCAAATAGGTGCTGGTGGTGGTCTCATCCTACCCCTAGGGAGGAAATGGTGGGGGCTGTCCTCTGGGGTCTCATGGACTCTGCACCTGCCTGGTATGATTTCAAAGCAGGCACTTTCCCCTCTCCTATGCCCTTTGATACCCCCTTCAACCATTAGATAAGGTTGCTTTGATTCCTTGCCTTGTTCTCAATGTAGATCTTCACTTACCTCTTCTTCCCTGGCCAGCAGGGGGTGCCATTTTCTGGTCTGCCTCAGATGTGAATTTTTTGGGGGATGGTCCTGTTTTTTGTTGTTATACAAACTGCTCTGATATTATTTATGAAGAGCAGCATATACATATTTACATCAATATAAATAAAATAAGATAAAAACACATTCCCCACCACAAAATAACTCTGACCCTCCAGTTCCCAGGAGTCTGTGAGGAGGGGAATGTGCTTTAAATTTAAATCTGAAATTGACAGATGGGTCCATCTTTAGACTTACATAACATATTCTGTTTCTTTGGCACGGTGGCTAGTTTAGTTCAGAATTCCACATAGCTCTAAGAATGTTTTAATACACCCCGCCCTGGCCCACAGCCTCTCTCCTCTGTCCTGCTGACCACCAAGGCAATTAGGCTAGCAGGGAAAAACTTGCACCAAATTACTTTTTGGTCATGTGGTCGTTCTATATACACCATGCTCTACATATACAGGAGGAGGAGAAGTGGGGTGTGCCGGAGACATATAGCAACACTGACTTACCTCTCTGAATTTTGAGGAGGAAAATGGTCATGGAAAAGCACAAAACAAAGACACGCCCCATTGTTTGTGGCCCCCCACAATGAGAAGTCTAATATGTATCGAGCACAGGAAGGAAGTGAGATTTCATTTCGTCGTCTCAAGGGCATCCTTTTATAAGCTCAGAAATTTGCCTCTGGGCTTTCTAGAGAGGTGTTGTTTATGGGCATCGGAGAGAGACTGGGGATCTCAGTATGTATATCAACAGTTATTCAGCTAAGAGGTACAAAGAGAGAGAGAGAGAGAGAGAGAGAGAATAATCATTGCTATAGCTGTTGCAGTTTTCAGGAAAAAAGTACTTTAAAGTTGGCTGAAAACTACAATTCTGGCCAGACTGAAGAAAACACCTACCATTAGCTGGCATGATTATGACATCACCATTCTGTTCCTCCAGTGATTGTTGTATGATGAGATAATAGCGCATCATTCTCTGACAAGCATGCTCTGACAGATAACTAGCCAAAATCAATCTGTCTCAGCGACCTCCAGCTGTAAAATGGGACAGGTGTATTCCAGAATATTGTAGGAAATAGTATACAGTGGTACCTCGGGTTAAGTACTAAATTTGTTCCGGAGGTCCATACTTAACCTGAAACTGTTCTTAAACTGAAGCACCACTTTAGCTAATGGGGCCTCCTGCTGCCACCGCGCCGCCGGAGCCCGATTTCTGTTCTTATCCTGAAGCAAAGTTCTTAACCTGAAGCACTATTTCTAGGTTAGCGGAGTGTGTAACCTGAAGCGTATGTAACCTTAAGCGTATGTAACCCGAGATACCACTGTAAATGCTTACACCTCCTTGTGAGGTGGTCTGAAACAGTTTTGGGATAATAAATTGTGTTTCTGTGGATAGCCTTAGCTGGGTATCAAGAACAAATAATTATGCAAGGAAGACTGGGGAGCACTGCCAAACCCTTTCCCTGCCCACCTGTGCAAAGGGGAGCCCAGCCAGCTGAAGCAACACTTGGCGGGTGCAAACCAGGTGCCCCCACACTGGTGACTCCAGAATTGCATGGCCCGGTGCGCTCTCTGCGAGCATTGTTTCCTCTGACACCAGGAGAGGAGCACCAGGCATCATTGTGCTGTGGGTGCTGCCTCGGGGGTGCCTGTTTTGCACCCCCTCAAGAATCTGCGCCCAGGGCAATGGCCCCTCTGGCACCCCAACTGTATGCCTCTGAATGGACTCGCTACCACCTCTTCCCACAGTTCAGAGATAACCTGCTTTTGTTCCATGTTGTAGGGCTTTTTAATGCTCTGTGATGTGGTCTCAGCCATGGCCAGAGCATAGCATAGCATAGAGAAGTTGGTTATCCTCAGAGTCCCCTGTGGTTTTAATTTAAAGCAAGTGTAAAAAAACACACCCTTCAATGTTGAATTCATAAATTACAAAGAAACAAGAAGTTCTGGATTCAGTTTCTGTTACGTGCATGAAAGTTGCTGTCACTGCTATATAAAAACCTTTAAATCAGTGGTTCTCAACCTGTGGGTCCCCAAATGTTGTTGGACTACAACTCCCATCATCCCTGAGCTCTGGCCTTGCTAGCTAGGGGTGATGGGAGTTGTAGTCCAACATCTGGGGACCCACAGGTTGAGAAAGATTGTTTTAAATGGTCATTAAAATGCAGATTGTCAGGAATTTGGCCCCCCAGAGCACACTGGGAGAGTCAGCCTCAGAAATTGAGCTGAGTGAGGAAGAGGTTAACTCTGTAGATGAGAACTGTCTGTCTGATTTTAGAGAGAACAGCCCAGGGCCCCTCCTCTCCAGGGAAAAAGCGGTTAGCTCCCAAGGGGGGGGGGGAGAGTTGGAAGTTGGCCAAGGCATTGCCAGGCAACCAGCAGATAAGACGGTGTCGGAGGCTAAGTCTTCTGAGGAAGAGGTAGCTCAGCCCTACAGTCCTAAAACAAGATTAGAGAAGCTCCAAGAGCAATGGAAGGGAAGGAGACGAAAGGTGGGATTTTGGCGTTCTTCCTGTTGGGGGGAGGAACGATGAGTCAGACTGAGCAACTACGATTAATGAGAGCAGGCAGAACGCCATGCTCTGGATGTGTCTTTCCTTTAAATAAACTTGTATAAAACTGACGGAGAGCCTTCGTTGCTTATCAGGTTGCTCGCCTGCCAGAGATCATTATACAGATTGTGTCTCATATGTGGCAGGATCGGCCAGAACATAAGGCCAGACATCAGTTGGATGGAGCAATGAACTGAGAGTGTAACTTCTGCTCTCTCAGTGAGACAATTAGACCTCCACTAGAACTCTAGGGTGACAAGCTATGCCTTGCCAAAAAAAGGTATCATCCCCCAAAAGACAACAACATATGGCAACAGTTTGCCCACATGCTGATTTTTATGTATGGAATAGATGAAACTTTAGAAATTATTACTATAATTTAAATGGGGCTCACTGTGAGCATGCAATTTCCAGGCCTCACCCACTCTGCAATCTTATGGCACTTTCAACCAGACATGGAGACGACAGTCCTCCAAATGGAGGATGACCCTCTGTGAAGTATGACACCTGGTCCACAACCCTGCTAGATCTCTGTGGCCTGGTTCACACATGCAGCTCAACAAGGGTGCACCCTGAGATGGTAGGCAAAGTGGGCTGTGTCATTTCAAAATGCTGTTTCTGAATGCTCTTCCTCTGCAAGTAAACCCACAAGCACATTATGGAAGATTCTAGTCAAATCTGCTCCCTCTTGTGCTGCTTCTCTGCTTGCAGAGTATTGATCATATCAGAGGCACTAGCTTTCAAGGGCAATGGGGGGGGGCAAGGTCGTGCGTGTGATGTCAGAATACTGGGAGGAGCTGGGGGCTGAGCCGAACACAGCGGCCGCATGGCTTCAATGGCTGGCAGCTCTTCCTCCGACTCCTCTTGGGGCCGCCTGAAATGATTCATTGCAGTCTAGTACCTCAGAACTCTGCCGCTGCATCCCCACCTCATTCTGCTGCATGTGAATTTCATATCCTTCAAATTTTCTTAATTGAGAGATGGTCCTAGTACAAAACGGGCCATGACAGGTGTGAATGGCATGCTGGCATCTGTCTGTCTCGAGAGAATGGAGTCTGCCTCCGGGAGTGAAATCAAACAGCTGTGTTAGCAGCACCTAAGTGACCAGGTTTCAAGTCCGGGCAGTGTGTATGGAGGTCCTGGGCTGCCCAAATTTCAAGGGGCCCTCTTGGCCTTGCTGATGTGGTCCAAAGGAAACCAGAGCAATACAAATGGGACCAGCTTGGCTGCAGGAGTTGCCAGAATGAGGCATATAAGGTGCTATCCAACCGTCTTAGGGATGCCGGATTTGTGTAGGGCTTACTCCTTAGCCCACTGGTTTTCAACCAGTGTACCAGTGCCCTCAGGGTACCCTGAGGTGCCCTGAATGATGACCAGGGGTGCCATGGACAACACTGGCCTCTGTCCCTCTTTCCTTCCCTCCCTCCTTTGATGCCCTCTTGCATCTCTGCCTGCCAAAGGCTTGCATAGCTGTTTGTTGCAGCTACAAGCTCCCTGGGCAAATGGTGCCTCTGGGTCTAGGTAGGGGGGTGCTGGTTGCCAGGAGCTGAGGTGGCCTCGGAGTAAGCAAGCAGGCGAGAAAGCCTAGCCACCAGTCCTCCAGCCCTTGCTGTTGGGAATGGACAGACAAGTCACACGCCCTTGTGGGGCAGTGGGAGGAGGAACCTCCCTTTGGGGCGGGGGGGGGCAGCTCAGATACCAGGGGGCGGCAGCAGCGGCTGCCCAGAGGACTCCCAAGGAGAGGGGAGAGGAGACTGAGGGAACCCTCCACAAGGGAGGGTGTTTGAAAAAGGGTGAGAGGCTGCCAGCTCTGCAGGCAAGGGGTGACATAACTGGACTCCTGAGCCCCACAGGGGTGCTGCAGGAAGAATGTAGTTGCTCAAGGGAGCCGTGGTCTCAAAAAGATTGAAAACCTCCACCTTAGCGTTTTCTTCTCCTGAAAATATCCTGCAAGGCAGTGCAGGTTTAGGAAGAGAGTTTTCCTTCTCCCAGATGGGCTACCTGCCCAGGCAGACAAGCCCCATCTGCACCTCACTTCCCTCTAGACCACTATAGGTCTCGTCCATTCAATCTGCCAGACCCTGTGTTTGCATGCAGGGAAAGTCACTAGCTCAGCGAGGGTTTGAGATCCATCGGCTACCCTCACCTGGTTTAGCCAGCCAGTGGAAGCCGTTCCTGGGGTCTGTCCACTCTCACATGCTGAGAGCTTCTAGGAGGTGCAGGTGAGTGTTGAGTGCAGCGAGGGGGACCAAAGGTGGACAAACTATCCAAAAGCAGCACAACATGTTCCCCACCAGAGATACTACCCCTCCTATAACATCCCATACACCCCGTGGGTGTATGAATGACATGAGCGACATACCCATGAAGTAAAGCAGCTAGCAAGGGTTTTTTGTTGTTGTTTACATTTGATTTTATTAAAGCCAGATCAATGAGTATTTGGTGAGAGAATCACAAAATCAAACCAACCATCTATAGGTTGCCTCCAATCGTCGTTTGTATCCAGGAGATATGCTTCTTTGTGAGAAGAGTATAGACGCCAGGTTGACGTTTATCACCACATGCTGATTTTCCACCAAAGGATACAATAGCTTTTTGTTCCTCGTTACATATCAAAGGACCACCCGAGTCACCCTGGTGGGAAAAAGAAGAGAGAGCCTTGACAAGACTATTCCCTGATTCATATCTTTCTTTGCTCACACTCTCAAAATGATAGTAAAAGGAGAGTTTTGACAAATTAAACACCTGCATTTCATGATTTCCCTACAGGACAGTCCTTCAACTGTTCTCCCACTATATTCCCACTATAGATCCCGCTATATTCTCTGTGTGGGAGGTGTAGGAAGTGTGCCAGCTTGGCTCCGCAAATGTGGGTGCCCGGGGCCATATGCATAGGGGCAACATGCATGGCCCTGGCACTGAAATTTGCGGGTGCCTGGCCCCTTCATGGGGAATTTTGTGGGTGCTCAGGCACCCAGGGCCCCAGGGAGTTGGCACCTATGAAGTGTGCTTAGGGTTTCAGCAGTTTTATGCCTACCTACTTGGGAGTAAACTCCATGGAACGTAGTGTCGGGTTGCCAGATTTCAAAAAGAGATTTACCTCGCCATCGCTCCCAGCCCCGTTCTGGGGGCTGGGGACGGGGGAAGCTCGGGCTTCCCCCGCCCCCAGCCCTGCAAGCTCCGGGAGCAGTGGCGAGGTTGAGCGCAACATCGCCTTCGCTCCCGGACCCCCAGCCCCAGGCTATAAACGAAGCCAGGACAGCTAGTGGGATCCATCCTTCTTTGCTCTTTGGGGCTTGGGGTGGGGGGAATTTTTTTTCTTTATTCCCCCCCCCAAAAAGAATAAGTGCGCCCTATGGGCTGGTGCGCCCTATAGGGTGAAAAATACGGTATTTATTTATTTATTTTGCCAAAGTTGAGCTTTATTTTGCAAAATCTCAAAAAAAGAAGAAGTTTTTGAGCTATTCTAAAGGAAATTCACCAGAATCTACACTTCTGTATGTATGAATTTTCCTGGACATTTCAGTGATTTTTCCACCTGAACATTGTTTCTGACGGCCGGATCCTGGCTATGTCTGGGAAATTCCAGACGTATGGCAACCCGAACTTACTGAGACGTCTGAGAAAACATGCACAGACTTTAAATATTTTGCAAGTTGCTTTGAGACTTCTTGTGAAAAGCAATGTATATATGTATCATTATTATAAATAATTATAAATGTATGGAAAAGATCTCAAATATGTGCAGTAAACACAAATCTGTAGCCTGAAAAGAAGCCAGAAGATTCTTCCACATGCTACTATGATGAAAGTCAGAAAATATTTTTTTAAATATAATTAAAAATATGGTTAACTATGTAATTTCTGAACATAGCTACCTGTTTACCAGTTCAATGTGCGTACACATTTTGAAATATTTTCCAACAAGTTTAAAAATGACATAGTATTAAATCAGTACGATAATGTACAACATACATACAAACACACCTGTGTGTGTGTGTGTGCACCTGCTTGCTCCTCTCACCAAGTCCCCTACCTTCCCCCATATTAACCCCCTTTCCACCCCAGCTTGCTTTTCACCTCCACAACCCCATTTCTGAAACCACTTCTCTCTTTTATTCCACAGCCTGGCTTTGCAACCCTGTTTTGCCCCAAGTCCACACTTCCTCCCTGCTCTTTTTCTGCAACTCTCCTGCACATACGGTAAATCACTCCCTAACCCTGGTAACCTCCTGCATCTTCCTCCTCCCACACCTTACCAACTACTAAGCAGACTTGTGTGTGATGGTAAGCTAATCAGGTGCCCATCATAGCTGTAACAAAATCAAGGTCTGATTAGGCATTGGCTTTTCTTTAGTTTATGCTGAAACTCTGCAGAAACATTTTTCTCAGACCTTGCCCAGACCTGTTGTTTTTAAGGGCAGGAAAGGCACTACAAAATAATTGCTGTTTCTCTCTAAACTGCTGTTTCCACCCTAATCTTCATTGGGATATTTTAATAATAATAATAATAATAATAATAATAATAATAATAATTTATTATTTATACCCCGCTCATCTGGCTGAGTCTCCCCAGCCACTCTGGGCAGCTCCCAATCAAATGTTAAGAACAATACAGCATTAAATATTAAAAACTTCCCTAAACAGGGCTGCCTTCAGGTGTCTTTTAAAGATAGAATAACTGCTTATTTCCTTCACATCTGAAGAGAGGGTGTTCCACAGGGTGGGCGCCACTACTGAGAAGGCCCTCTGTCTGGTTCCCTGTAACCTCACTTCTTGCAATGAGGGAACCGCCAAAAGGCCCTCGGCGCTGGATCTCAGTGTCCGGGCTGAACGATGGGGGTGGAGACGCTCCTTCAGGTATACAGGACCGAGGCCATTTAGGGCTGTAAAGGTCAGCACCAACACTTTGAATTGTGCTTGGAAACGTACTGGGAGCCAATGCAGATCTCTCAGGACCGGTGTTATGTGGTCCCAGGGTCCACTCCCAGTCACCAGTCTCGCTGCCGCATTCTGGATTAATTGCAGTTTCCGGGTCACCTTCAAAGGTAACCCCACGTAGAGCGCATTGCAGTAGTCCAAGCGGGAGATAACCAGAGCATGCACCACTCTGGCGAGACAGTCATTTAATTCCCAGGTGGGGGGATTTCACCAAGGAAACACTGTATTTAAAAGTCTTGAGTAAACAGAGCTACAACTTGTTTGAATTATTCCTCCTTATGTGTATTACGCTACTGAACAAGGTGTCAGTCACAAGAGAGTTCATATTTGAGGACAGAAATGGTAAATAAGCAAGCTTACCACACACGCATCCTTTCCTCCTTTCTTGTCTCCAGCACACACCATAGTCCTTGTCACAACAGGAGGATTATAGCCATCACTGCATATTTTTCTGTCAATGACGGTGACGTCAACTTCACGCAGGGTATCAGATGGCTTCTTCTGTCCGTTTTGAGTAATTCCCCATCCAGCTACTTGACACTTGGTTCCTGCCTTGAGATCATCGCCCTTTTTGGTAAGCTTAATGGTTCTCACGCCTTTGTTAATCTTTGCTGTTCCATTAAGCTTAAAAGAGATGGAAGAGAGAGCGGGGTGTGGGTGTGTGTAGGGAAAACCAACACTTATTATTAGCAGGCAGTGTGGTGTAGTGGTTAGTGTGTCAGATTAAGACAAGGGAGAGCCAGGTTTGAAGCTCCATTCAGCCATGAAACTCTTTGCTGGGTCAGTCACCGTTACTCAGCCTAACCTACCTCACTAACAAAACTGCTAAAAATGTGCTGATCTTCAATTTGAAACATTCCACACTACTGTATTTTGTGAGCAACAGTGGGTTAAATAAGTTAAAGTTTAATGAATTTATAAATACACTTTCTTTAAAAAGGAAGTTTTCACAGTGTTCTGTGCAGTCACAAAGAACACCAACCAGACTTCACTTTTGAAATAACCAAGCAGCCCATGATAAACTCAGGATGCTATCAGCAATTCAGAACATCATATCGGTAGCTTAGTTTACATCAGGTAATGTAAGGGAGAGTGGGGGGAAATCTTCAGGGTCTTCCTAAAAATACTGATTCCACTAACTCTCTAGTCAGCGGCTAATTTTATGGGGCCCTCCTCAAAATCACTTTGAGGAAGAAAATGGACCAACCCCAATTCCAAAGAACTGCTCGCTAATCTGGGTGTGGACAACTTGGTCCTCCAGATGTTGCTGAACTACAACTCCCATCATTCCTTGCCTTTGGCCAGGCTTTCTAGGGCTGATGGGAGTTATAGTTCAGCAAAATCTGGAGGGTCAGAGGTTTCCCACCCTTGTGTTAGTCCCATGGTCATAAATAAGTCACTATACCAGGTGCACTCCATGGTCTCTTGTGACAGTCAGATGCCAACAACAGCACCTTGTATATGCCTCACTCTCTTGTGCAATTGGAGAGTGAACTAATGTTCTTCACTGGGGGGAGATATGGCCCCTCCTGGCCTCCTATTACTGAATCCTACCATAACCCCCTCTGGATGCTGCCAGATCTTCCCTTACAGCCACCCCCTGCTAATTGGATCAGAGGAAATTAGTCATGTTCTACTCCCATTAAAATCAGTGTGGCAGGTTAGCCAGAAAACCTCCCTAGATTCTGCCTCCTGGGCATCTAAGTAGATCTCAGCAGGCTTAACAGCTTACCCAACCCTCTCCCCATCTCTCTGAACATCCAGGCTTATGGTTGGGAGGGGGAGCGTTTCCTATCACCCAGACAATGGCGCTGTTATGCTCAATCTTTATGATTCCTTTTCTCTACCTTACGTCTTTAACTTCACTCCACCAGTGTTACCCCGTTGCCAAGGCAACCGGCATATCACTATCATAGAATTTCATAGAACTGGAAGGACGTCTAGTTCAGAGATCATGCTTGGCCAAGTGTGCGCCTTTTGCAGCAGCTGTGAGGAGTCCACCTATCATGATGCCATCAGTGGGTGTCACTGTCAGCAAACTCCCAACACTCCTCAGGGAAAAGACACAACATGGTAGCTTCCCTTAGCACCTATATTAGATGTATGTGCCATTTGGAGATATACCTGCAGAAGCATAAGGTCATGTTCTTTTGTCGTCTCATCATAGCATGGGTGAGCAATTTGTCTAGCAACCCTAAATGTCTGCCGGGTATCCTCATGTTTAGCAAGTGAATGAGCTCCAAGAACAACTGTGAGAGTTTTCTCCCTAAGAAGATAAAGAATATGGATAAGTTAAAGGAAGTCCAAAGTTCACTAGCGTATGTCAGTTTCACATACGGTATGTTCATTTACAAATCCATTCCCTTTCTGCATCAATCTGCATTTTTATTAAAAACCACACCAAATTTTACCTTTTTGAACTTACTTTGCACAAAATAAACAATTTAATACACTCTACCCCAATCTGCTCCCCAATGTATTTTATTATGAAACATGCATTTTTATACCCATTTTAACCTTCAATATTCATTTTTATATGCATTTTCCTAGTTTTCTTGAGCCAAGAACTGTATTGCAAGATTTAGAGATATGTGCAACACCCAAAGGATAGCTATGCTCTGATATTAAGCTGGTAATTGCAAATCTGCTAGCATCCCTACATGGGCAGTATTAAGTTTGTGAACCACCACCACCAAAAACAGAAACAGAAACATTTCTTGAAACTTACCGACAATGGGCTGCTGTTAACACCCAGTTGGGTTTGATCAACGTTCCTCCACAGATCTGGCGTCCTTTGATTAAGGCCATATAAGGTCTTGAGTGTGGTTTCGCTTCTTTCCCTCCAATTATATCTGCACATTGATCTGAGAAAGGGGTGGTGGTGTTAGTCATGCTAATAATCACAATGGGTGGCATACACGGCCGTAATAATAATAGAAGAAAAAATAATAGAGGAAAATGAGTAATGAAGGAAAAGAATGTACCGTATTTTTTGCACCATAAAACTCACTTTTTTCCTCTTAGAAAGTAAGGGGAAATGTCTGTGCGTGTTATGGAGGGAATGAGTACGGGTGGCATGCCTACGGATTTTCCTCCTCTAAAAACTACGTGCGTGTTATGGTTGGGTGCGTGTTACAGAGCGAAAAATACGGTAATTCACTCCAGGAAGCCTGTGTAACTGATGGCCCATCAAACTGAAAAGTGCTCCCTGGCCATGTTATTCTGGTGGCCCAACCAGGCGATTGACAACCTGCCTCCTGTTTCTGCAATTCCAGGCAGTATTAAAACAGGCTTAGTGTGCCTTTGGTGAGCTGCCGTAAGTGGATGGTGGGCTTGACGGATCACTCCTTGTGCTGACCTCCTGCAAAGGATGAAGACAGGTGCATACAGAGAGGCAGAGATTACTGGGTGCTCGCTTTGCGCTCAGCAGAAGCTGAGGGTGGTGCCAATTGTTAGATCAGGGGTGGCAAGTCTCAGGCCCAGGGGGTCAAACTCAGCCCTCCAAATCTGGCCCTTTGGACTCTCCCGAAGCCAGACCACCTACTGACTATACTGTGCCTTTATGATCATAGTGTGATCAGAGGCGGTAATACGAGCTGACCGAGATAGATCAGTTGGTAGAGTAGGAGGCTCTTAATCTCAGGGTTGTGGGTTCAAGCCCCACCTAATGGGGAAAGATTCCTGCATTGCAGGGGGGGTTGGACTAGATGACCCCTGTGGTCCCTTCTAACTCTACAATTCTACAGTTCTGTGATTCTAAATACTCGCTGCTGGGGATGGGGAAGGTGCTGCCCTTCTGTTTACCCTTCTGATCAGAGGCACAATACAGTGGGAGCTGAAGCCATTTACATAGCCATCACACATGAGGCATTTGACAGAGCAGCAATGCTCTCAGAGGGAAGGATAGCATTTCCCCAGCAGTAAATGCTGCCAGATGAGGTCTGTGATATAGCTCAGCCAAAAAGGTACAGTATCAGGCTCATCTTTCAACTTCAAGTGGACCAAACTGGTGTGCAGGTTCCCTTACTTTGTAAATACTGAAAGGAGCACACATGTTGTAAATCAATTGCCAGTTGCTTTAAATGGTTTTAATATTGCATTTTTAAATTGTTGCAACCCACCCTGGGACCTGATGATGAAGGGTGTGCAAGAAATCCAACTAATATATTTTAAGCTATTGAATAAATGATTGAACAAAAACAAGATTGCTTTGCTTAACCACTTGATTGCATTACATTGCAATCTCTCTCTCTCTCTCTCTCTCTCTCTCTCTCTCTCTCTCTTTCTCTCATATAATGGGACACTTACCTCTTGGAATCCCGAAGAGAAAAATGGCACTGAAGAACCACAAGTCAAAGAAAACACCCATCGTTGCTGCTTTGTGTTCCCCCACATCAAAGTATCTGGTATATATACACAGTGAGGTTTTCTTCTTCTTTCTCTTTATAGATGTTCATTTAGAAACTGAAACACCCACAATGTGACCTCAGAAACGTGTCGGTCATTTCCAGGCAAGAAAAGTTTGTGTCATTTAATGAACCAACATGACCAATGAATTGGGGAGGGAATGAGAGACAGGCTTACCCTGTGTTCTCAGGAGTGCTTTACTGATATTTCCTATCATACCTGAGGTTGCTGTGTAAAACTGGGTGACGACTATTGAACCTAGTGGAATGTTTTGGGTAGGCAATTGCTTCCTGCTGAGTCAAAAGAAGGTTTGAGAGAGAACGGACTTCCACAGACTTCTTCTGTGGAAAGGAGCTTATAACCTATAATATTACTGTGATAAATGAGTAGATGATCATGTTAGTTCCATATTTGTGAGAAATTGACCTTTTATTGTGGAAGCATCTGACCTCTGGAACTCCCTGCCTATTGATATGAGAAAGGCACCTTAGTATTTTTGACACCTACTAGAAAACTTTTTCATTTATCGTTTATTTTTTTGTAGGCAAGCCTATCCAGACACATAGTTTTATTACATATATTTGCTTTTAAGATCTGTTGACAGGGTGAGCTCTGGTTGCTCGGTCCCTGCTCCTGCCAACCTAGCAGTTTGAAAGCCTGTCAAGTGCAAGTAGATAAATAGGTACCACTCCAGCGGAAAGATAAACAGCATTTCCGTGTGCTGCTCTGGTTCGCCAGAAGCGGCTTAGTCATGCTGGCCACATGACCTGGAAGCTGTCTGCAGACAACCGCCGGCTCCCTCGGCCTATAGAGCAAGAGGAGTGCCGCAACCCCAGAGTAATCCGCGACTGGACCTAATGGTCAGGGGTCCCTTTACCTTTACTATCCAGACACATAGTTTTATTACATATATTTGCTTTTAAGATCTGTCAATTTTATCTATATTTTGGTAGTGTATTTACTGTTTTTAAAGCCTTATTGCTGTTCATTTTAAACATATGATACCATTTTATATTGCAGGTAAAGATCTGGACTACTGGACCAATGAGGCTTCCCCCCCCCCATAAATGGCTTGCTTCTTTCTCAGTGTCCTTAGTGGGGGGGGGTCAGGTAAACCTCCGCCCACATCTAAAGGATGCATGAGGCAACATGGGCTACTCAGGCAGGACCTGCCACTCATATCTCTGCCAGTGGAAAAAAGACAGTCACGGAACCAAGAAATTACACAAAACAAAAGAATTGCCGTGAAAATCCCTGAAACAAGAAGTAATCGACTATAGAATTAAATTAAATAACAAAAAAACAAAAAAACAAAAAGGAAAAATTAACCTGGAATTAACAAAGACTTAAGGATATGCCGGCTACAAAACTCGTTTTACTGAACTAATCAGTTTCCTCAGAAGGAAATAAAGAAATTATAAACCTTAAATGATTTTAAGTGATATCAAACAAACTCAAGAGCAAGGCTGAAACACTTCCCTGAGTTTACAAAAAAGGTATGAAAACCTCAATGATAAGTTTTAAACATAGCCCTATTTAAGAGAACCGAGCGGTAGTAATAAGAAATTGAGGACTCTAGTATTGCTTTCACAAAACGGTTTTAAGAAAAACTTACAAAGGAATACGAGATAAGCTGTTTAGGTTTCAAACAAACTCAAAAACAGGGCAGAAACTCAAAAACAGGGCTGAAGCGCTCCTGACTGCTGATGTTAAAGACTCATATCTCTGCCGGCTGCACATTTGGCAGGCTTGAGAAGGGACTCTTTGCAGATCTCAGCACAAGCGAATAAACTCCCTCCACACAAAGATTTGTGTGCCATTTGATTCATCCACATGAAAAGAAATGCCTTTGAAACACTATAGGCACCATGTGCCAATGTGCCAAAGAGGCAGCAGCAACTGAGATGGTGGAGAATGATGTTCCTCAGAGCCTTCTGTGAAGTTTACTTTTTCCCCACAGAAGTCCTAATATTTTTTATGTCCACCAGAGGGCTCTCAAACTCACATATACTGTATACAGTATTACCTTTAGTAATTTGTCTCTGCATGAATGATTTGTTTCACCCTGCTAAAAAGCCTTGGTTTGCATAGGAACTGAACATAAAATACAATATGGGGGCGGGGGGTAGTCAGGAGGGCTTCTCTATATGATTGCAATGTATAATAGGGTTGCCATATTTTTAAAGGGGGAAAGTTGTTGAGGGGTTTGTGGGGGTTTTTTTTGCCAAGTTGTTCAGCTTTTTGAGGTATTTTAAAGAGAATTAGCCAAAATATAGACTTCCAACATGGACTGTGGTATGCCCAGATTTCCCCCAGACATTTCAGCGATTTTCACCCAGACACTGTTTCTATGTCTATCCATATTGTCCATAGTATTTGTTACATTACAAGTGAGATTAAAATCCTGCTAATGTTCTCATCTGCTTACAGTGGTCTCCTAAATAAATTATAAACTTTTCCCATTCGTTCTTGAATTTCTTGTCTTCTTGGTCTCTGAGTTTTCCAGTCGGTTTTGCCATTTCAGCGTAGTCTAACCGCTTAGTTTGCCATTCCTCTCTGGTAGGGACTCTTTCTTCTTTCCATCTCTGGGCCAGTAGCACCCCTAAGAAACACCATTTCATCACCACTGTATGAAATTAAATTGGGCTGGTTGTTGGTAATTTATTGATAAACAGTTGTTTATTAATGTTGATATGTGATATGACGTGGGTGGCGCTGTGGGTTAAACCACAGTGCCTAGGACTTGCCGATCAGAAGGTCAGTGGTTCGAATCCCCACGACGGGGTGAGCTCCCGTTGCTCGGTCCCTGCTCCTGCCAACCGAGCAGTTCGAAAGCACGTCAAAGTGCAAGTAGATAAATAGGTACCGCTCCGGCGGGAAGGTAAACGGCGTTTCCATGCGGTGCTCTGGTTCGCCAGAAGTGGCTTAGTCATGCTGGCCACATGACCCAGAAGCTGTACGCTGACTCCCTCGGCCAATAAAGCGAGATGAGCGTCGCAACCCCAGAGTCGGTCACGACTGGACCTAACGGTCAGGGGTCCCTTTACCCTTTACCTATGTGCATTAACCAGGATAGTTTGCATGATTTAGCTGCCTTCTTGTTTCATTGCAGATTATTTTGTAATGCTGAGTACTATCTGTATGATATGTCCTCGCATAATGATAAATATGAATGTGACAAAGGAAATTTATCCATTGCCTTGGCTGAAAATGCTGCAGAGCGCTACTTAAATCCCATTAATTCCAGTGGGATTTCAGCAGCCTAATTGTGGTCAGGACTGAAGTCCTTTTAAATAAGCTTCTAATGACTTTACCATTTACAAGGGAAATATGGGAATCAGCAGAGAGACAAGCTGGCATTAAATGTACACACGATATCCTGCACTTTATGAACAGGATGGTAATGAAATTCTCTCTCATTCTCTTTGTCACTGCATGAAGCCCATTTCATTCCATGCAGGACTTGTTTCCCTTTCTTTGTTGTTGTTGACAGCAATTCACATCTGGCTCTCAACAGACAATGTAGACATGGCTGAAAATGTTGTTTCCTGGAAGAGTGGTGTTTTGAGAATGGAACCTGTCCACTGCTGATGGGATAAGTCTTTGGTTTATCTTCCAAGCAAAGGTCATTTATCCATGTAAAAGTGCCGTCAAAGGGTGCTTCCTCTTTGGTGACGTGATCTGAGGGTAGTAAGAGATGTTTACAGAGCAGAGCTGCAAGAACAAATGTTGCTGGGTTTTCTAGATTATTTTATTCAGATTTACCCACGGGATTTTAAGAGGCAGATGCAAAGGTATTTTAACAGGCCAGAAAACAGAGAGAAATTAAACAATAGCATACATGCTATGTTTCTTTTTTTAAAAAAAATTAATTTTTATTTAAAAAAAATATTGGTTTTCCGTACTGTATTTCTATTTAAATTATATGAATGATTTGCAAATTTGTCTCTGTATGTATAAATTGACACATGCAATTTTTATGCAAGTCTGGGTTCTCTTTTGCCCCCCTTTTAATGTATTAATTGCATTCTGCTTACCACCTTTTACCACCCAATGAGTTCAAGGTGGTGTGCATGTTCTCCCCTCCACAACAACCCTGAGAGGTAGATTAAGCAGAGAGACTGGCCCAAGGTCACCTAGTGAGCTTCAGGGCTTAGTGGAGATTGCAGTGCTGGTGTGCTGGATCGTAGTCCAACATTCTGGCCCTCCTACTGCTATGTGTCTTCCAGTCGTTTGTTTGCTTTCTAACAGGCAGAGCCCAGGCTCCAGGCCTTCTCTGATGCTCACCACAAAGAAGCTGCAAAATTGATCCCATGCCCTCACCCCGGGCTCTGACTATGGGCCAGAAGGCAGTTGCAAACCTCAGAATACACCAAGTTGGCTGTGGAAGGTACAGCGTACGAAACAATTCCTGCCACTCCCCAGAGGAGGAAGAGAGTGGTGGTGATAGGTGACTCCCTTCTGAGGGGGAGAGAGGCAGCAATGTGCGGTGGTAACAGGATGTCCCGGGAGGTGTGCTGTCTCCCCGGTGAAGAGAGTCATGATGTGACAGAGAAATCGCCAAGCTGACCACAACCTCCTCCTTCTGACTCATGTGGGTACAAATGATACCGTCAGACACAGCCTTCGATGTATAGCAGTGGCCTATGACAAATCCCAGCTGTATTCAATGGCGCTTAGTTCCAGGAATTGGACTGTTATAGCATAAAGACTGTTATAGCATAAATCTTCTATTTCTGCGGTCAGAGGCAACATGTCTCTTAATGTCAGTTCCTGGAAACTGCAGGTGGGGAAGGTTCTGTTGCATTCGGCTTGTGGACTTCTCATTGGTCAGCTGCTGTGAGTGCAGAATACTGGACTTTATGACCCTTTGGCCTGATCCAGCTAGGCTCTTCTTATGCAATTCGATGCACGTCAACCTGGGAACAAATCCCATTGAGCACAGTGGGACTTAAATATGAACAAACATTTATAGGACTGCCGGAGACCAACAGCCTAAGAAAAAACCTTGGGCTCTTCAAAAATTGCAACCGTTTTACCAAGCAGTGAAGCATCTTCGAATACATCTTTTCCTCTCTTTCTAATGTCTCGTTGTAAGTTATAGAGGTCAAGAAAACATAGCAGTGCAATCCTTTATGTTATGAGCTTGGTTTGGAAACTCCCTAGAGCTTGGGTAGAT